GGGGTGATTTCTTGCTTTCTGTCTCTCTGTCTCTGTCTTTCTGGCAAGCACATGTACCCGATAGCAGAAAACTCTCCAAATAAATAAATAAAAAGCAAAAAAGTTATTATTTTATTCAAAAATTTTACAGCAATTAGCAGATTTGGAGAAAATGGGTTGCATATAAACATGTGCTAAATGTGATTAAAACATACACACAGAAGACAACAAAATCCTTTTTCCGAAACATGGACACAGGTTCAAGGGAAAAGATATTAGAAGGACCAGGGTTATACTAGAAATTGAAAACCATGGGAAGAATCTGAAACTTTATTCCTTGGGAAGCAGACATGTGCTGAAAACTTTTAAGGTGGAGAGTAGCATTGTAAGATTCTTTTTAAAAAGTAAACATTTTTCATGAGTGTTTAGAAAATAGGTGCAAATTGGGTGAAGCAAATTTTTAGAAAATGAGTTGCATTATAAACATGTGCTATATGTGATTAAAACATACTCATAGAAGACAACAAAATCCTTTATCCAAAACATGGACACAGGTTCAAGGGAAAAGATGTTATAAGGACCAGGATTATACTAGAAATTGAAAACCATGGGAAGAATCTGAAATTTTATTCCTTGGGAAGTGGACATATGCTGAAAACTTTTAAGGTGGAGAGCAGCATTGTAAGATTCTTTTTAAGGTAAACATTTTTTTTTCTTTTTTTTCTTTTTTTTGAGAGATTTTCACTGTAGGGCGCGTGCGCTCACCAGACAGAGAGAGACATAGAGACAGAAAGTGAGAAATCACCCCCTAGGGGGGATGGTCACGCCACAATCCCTTCTCCATTCTCCTCTCGGGATCTTGGGCAGGCACGTACTAGAAATTGAAAACCATGGGAAGAATCTGAAACTTTATTCCTTGGGAAGCAGACATGTGCTGAAAACTTTTAAGGTGGAGAGTAGCATTGTAAGATTCTTTTTAAAAAGTAAACATTTTTCATTAGTGTTTAGAAAATAGGTGCAAATTGGGTGAATGGAGTTAGGGATACTGATCAGGAAGTTGTCACTACTGTCCAGCAATTCCCAAACCAGATTACAAACCAGAATCTCTGGAGGACCTATTCATGAAAATAGAGAAAGAGTAGAGGAAAGAGGGAGGGGAAATGTGGTTGGGTGAAAAAGGAAAAAAAGTGAAAGGAAACTAGGATAAGGATAAAAAAGACATAAATGGGTGCATGCAGGAAAACCTAGGAGATGGGAGAGAGGAAGTAACTGAGAAAGCTGAAGATGCAATAAATGAAAAGGCTAATAATCTTGGGGGTCAATTTTCATCTTAAGCATTGTATTCATGAAAAATTGTCAACCTTGAAATCATTTATTTTTTCTTTTCATTCCATTATATTGTCTTTTCCTATAGGATTTTTATATGAAAGAGATTTGATTTGAAATTTTGCTTTGCAAATAATGTATCATTTATATATATGTGCACATATATATGTATATATACATATATACACTTTTCAACACTGCTATGCTATATATATGTGTATATACATATATGCTATATATATGTGTATATACATATATACATATACACACACACACACACACATATATATAGCAAGAAAAGTTTTCTCACATTTCGAAGTCACTTAACTTTCCTTCTGACAGTGATTGGAATACCCTTTCAGTAGAAACTTTTTTAGCACAATATAACTGAACCAAGGACTAGAAACTGTGGTACACATAATGACCATCGTCCACAACTCCAACTGTTTAAATACACATTTATTGGGAGTGGAATCTTTCCATGAAATCTTAGCTCACTAATAATTCTATATATATGTGAGTATATACATATATGCTATATATATGTGTATATACATATATACATATACACACACACACACACACATATATATAGCAAGAAAAGTTTTCTCACATTTCGAAGTCACTTAACTTTCCTTCTGACAGTGATTGGAATACCCTTTCAGTAGAAACTTTTTTAGCACAATATAACTGAACCAAGGACTAGAAACTGTGGTACACATAATGACCATCGTCCACAACTCCAACTGTTTAAATACACATTTATTGGGAGTGGAATCTTTCCATGAAATCTTAGCTCACTAATAATTTTAAAAAATCAGCTTATATGTGGGTGAATATTAGGTTGTAAATATTGGAAAGAGCAGTGGAGTGACTTTTTCATTATATCTTCACAAACACATACATTCATGTTAACATCATCAGAAGTGAGTGAATATAGCCAGAATTAATATTTAAGTGATTGGCCTGTCTCTATAGTACAACAGTAACACATGTGCCCTGTAAAGCTGGAAGCCACATGATCACCAGCAGGTTCAAATCCCAGAATCTTCCTGAAGCCAGGCTGAGCCCAGCACCCAGGAACACGAGGGGCTTGAGGGCTGGCGCAAGCAGACTGTGACATGATTGGAAGCTGACAATGATGCTCCCTCTCTCCCTCTCTTGCCTGTATGCACTATGTTAAAAAATGTCATATGTGTGTTTGTTTATTATATTATGTATAATCATACATATAGTCAATTAAATATAAATAAATAATTTTAACTTTATTTTAACAAATTTACAAGGTTTTTTTTCCCCCCTTTTTTTTCTTCCATGAGTGAGAAAAAAACAGCACAGCCCTCAGGGTCTTTATTTTGTGATCTACCCTTGCCTCAGTCGGCTGTGGATTGTAGGTATCCATGTGCCTGGTGTGCCCAAGGGGGTCTCTAGCTGCAAACTCAAAACCTTCCCTGTGGGTCAGCCTCACAAAGAAATGAGTTTTACTGTGTGCCTCCATCATTCTCTTAAAGGTTTTAATGAAAAGAGTGGATAAAAACCTTAGATCTTTATATCAGGATCATCAGAATTCATTCTAGTGTAAGATTCATTATGATTTAAATCTTTAAACTAGTTTTTAATTGTTTAATGCTCTAGTTCATTGCAAGTTATCTTATAAAATCATGACACTTACACTAACAAAATATTAAAATGTCATTGACGGTGTCTGGCAGGTGGCATGGTGTTGAGGCGCTGAACATAGCCAAACGTCGTTTAGGTTCCAGACCTGGAGACTTGATATCTCACTTTCCCTCTCTCTCTCTCTCTCTCATTCTGCCCCTCTCTGGTCAAATGAAAATAAATAGATAAATAAAGTTAAATAAAATCCTAAAGAAAAAAATAAATCCTTAAAATCTGTCCAGCACCCTTTCTGCCCTTTTTAAAAGTTGAACTCTTTAAACAGAATAAAATACAATAGTGAGAAAATTTCAATACACAGGTAGTCATTCTTCAGGTGCTGAATCATTTTGGAGACCTCATTCCCTAAGTGCAGAGAAATTATTTTTATATAAGTTTGCTCTGAACACAAGAGACAACAAAATGTACAATAGTGTGCTTTTGCCAGAAGAGAAGAGTGGAGAACTGAAATTCCCTTAAGAGTACTGGAGGAGGCACCATAGGACAGAGTGAAGCTGTTCTACAGGGTATTGTGAATTTGGACATGTGTGAGAAGTTCAGGTTATCCCAAAAGGCATTGAATATTTATGTAATTACAAACAGGGTTTTATTGTAGACAATTCTTGTTTTAATGGTTCAAATAATGTGCTATGTCAGTATTTTCCACCACAGGTGACATTTTTGCCACTTAACTTTATATAAGTATTAATTTGTTCTTTTGCCAGTAACAAAAAAATACCTGAATCAGGGTCATTTAAGAAAAATACAGGTTTTCTCAACTCTTAGTTTGAAAATCTAAGGTCCACTGGGACCAGCAGTTGGCATAATAGCTATGTCACTGGACTCTCATATAGTCAACCGCAGTTTGAGTCTCGGACCCGGTGGCTTAAATTCATGCCCGGCATGTATGTGTGCATGCCCAAGATCTCGAGGGAATGGAAGAGAAGGGATTGCAGCATCACCATTCCCTTTCTGTCTCTCTCTCACTCACTGTCGGTGTGGCAAGCGCACGAGCCCTATGGTGAATAGCTCTCCAAACCAAAAAAGAGGACTATAATATAAAACTGCTTCAAAAAGTGAAATTTGAAGTAGAGCAACACTGAACATCACAAG